ATATCAACACCTTTCATTTCTAGAACTCTCCAGAAAACATTTCTTGGAACATTATTGCAAGCTGTCTCTAAATCAATGAAAATCATATGTATATCTTTCTTCTTCTCTATGTGCTTCTCCATCAAACCTCTCAATAAAAATATAGCTTCCATAGTAGACTGGCCCTTCATAAATAAAAAGTAATTATGAAACACTTTTATATCATGTCTTAACATATGTCCAATTACTCTCCCTATAACATTAAAAAATACACAAAAAATATATTTAAAAATATAAAATAAAATTAAAAATAAAAAATAAAATTAATTATAAATGGCATTGAATCTTTTGGCAATCAAGATTTGTCTCATTTAAATATGTATATCTTAATTCTAGTTTTGGTTTGTTGCCTCCAACTTATAGGGATTCTGCCCATTAGAAGGTTACTCTCACCTTATAAGAACGTCTAAACTAGAAAAACCTCATAAATTCATAGAATGAGAAAAACAGGTACTTCTCCCTTTCATTCGCGGAGAGAGATTATGAAAGTATTTTATTTCTTTCGGTTATGGAACTTGCATTTGGTAGCTCAAAATGAAACTAATACTCATTGGTCATGTTATTAACAAACAACCATTTTATGCTTCCCTTTAACAACTGTAATTAGTTATTAAAGCTTAAAATTTTTATCGATTTCCGCTCAATTCTATGTGATTTCTACTTGTTTAACTTTTGTGTGTTGAGGATTATGAAATGGTATGGAATGAGAAACCATACCTTTTTTTTGGGAAACAGTCTCTTTTGAAAATATGAACTTGGGATTTTCAAATAATGAAAGATGACCGTGTTGATATTCCACTATGGGTGAAGTTCCTAACCTTTGGCTAGAATAAGGAGGAAATTTCCAAAGCTGCTAAGAGATTGGCAAAACTTTGGCAGCTAATAATCCTACTACGACCAAATCCTACCTCACCGTTGGAAGAATATATGTCTAAGTTTGCCCTTCTCATAGCTAATTGAATTCATCCTAATCGATTTGTTTGAAACAAGATTCAATCAGGAAGTACCTTATGATTAGAAATTGAAAGCTTATGTTGCCTATTGTACTTATGCTCAGAATGACAAACCTTGGCAAATAACGTCTCTATTTCCTCCTCTACCGAAGACAGAAAGTTGGTTGAAGCAAACGAAAACACCCCAACCCCCTTATAAATCATTGTCACATTCCACTCTTAGCATCTGCCCAACTCATTCGTCAACCTCTTTCTTTATAAATCTAACTACCCCTCCTCTTCAAACATGTCTTCTTCAAGATGGTTATTTTATGTTTGCTTCCTAGAGGAATGAAATATCTTGTCTTGAGAATTCTTATAAGACCGACCAGACCTCAAGCTAAAACACAGACCAGATAACCTTAATTTAAGATGCTTATTCTAAAAAAGAAAAATGCCAAATTTATTGACTAACAAAAATCCAATCCATTCACTTCATTATGCGGCTCTCAAGCATCACAACTTGGTTATTGAAGGATCTTGAATGTACGGGTTAGATTCTATATTGTGGGAAACTTGTCCAAGAGATTGCCTTCAGTATCTTTGGTGTCTTTAAACAAAAATCAACCCTGACACTCTTTTGGATCATTTGTTCATAAAAAAATTTTCATTTTTTGGAAAGAACAAAATTGAAATAACTTTCATTATTGTTTAGGCTATATTTGAATTAAATAGAATCCAAATAAAATCTCTTTTAACCAAAATTTCATTACCTTCCAAATCAAATATGAGAAAGTGACTGGTTATGGTACTTCGCTTCCTCCTTTTATGTGGCTAAAGATGTGATTGGTGGGAGAGAGATGTAGGTTATTTCTAAGAATTCTCCCTCGCAATCTCCAAATAGCTTTTGCTTAGAGAATTTAAAATTGTTTGATAAAGTAATTAAAAACTTTAAGATGATCAAATCCATTTAATAAAATTATTGATTTCAAAGAATGCATTTTAACCATGGCATCATTGACCTCATTAACATTAGGCTCGCTTAACATAGTGTAAATTTATAGCCGACAACCTTATTAAATCTAAAATTGATAGATCTCTTTCTAATAATGTTTTGATCGAAACATTCCATGGTTACATTTAGAGATCTTTCCTCCGTTTTTATTTGAACTTTTCTGCACTTGTCTACTTGGACAAGGTTTTTCAAGAATTATATATTTCTTTTCGAAAATTTTTTAACTAATTACCCAGATTGAAACAATTATATTCTCCCTGCTTATGCTAATTTTGGGCATGATAATCCCATACAAATGTTATACATAAAGCGAGTTAACTAATATTTTATAAATTGAAAGTAGCCCTTTCAGTATTTCATGGCAACTAATGTTGTCCAATCATTAAGGCTAAATACAATCATGCTATCACTTATGAGTTCTAATATATTAAGCGCTAATTAAGATAGCATTAATCACAAGAAGGGGAGATGGTCTTCAATTTCTTAAGGAATGACACTAAATTTATTAGGCGGCTTTCACTCTCAAATATTATTATTTATTCCCCATATGTCATTTCTAACAAATTTGTCTCTATTTTTTCAATCTTCATTTAAAAAGGAGGAACGCTCTTTCATTGATCCTCACATCTCCTCTTATAGGTTCTACTCTTAACTCCAAATCTTATCATTTCTCTTATTGAACATATGTCGGATGAGGAAGTCATTATGGTTCTAAAAGGTATTTCTATGAACTAATCTCCTAAGCCAAATATTTTTACATATAAATTCTTTCTTCACTCATGGGAAACCATGGATACACAATTACTCAAAATGGTGAAATATTTCTTCCAAGTTGAGCGGACACCTAATATGGTTTAGTCTCATAACTTGTCTCAAAGAAGACTAATGCCATTACTTTAAATGACAATCTCACCATCTCTATGCAATCCCTTTTATAAGTTTCTTGTCAAAATCTTGGACAATAGATTTAAAAGTGGCATTCCAATAAAAGCAACATTTTTCAACAACAAAATATTGTTAATAATATTACACTTGCCTATGAACTCACCCGCAACATTAAGGGCTCGTTTGGGGCAGCTTATTTGGTGCGGTGGCGTTTTGAAAACGCATCTAGCCTGTTTGGGACAGCTTATGGGTTTTCAAAATGCTGAAAACAGTGTTTTCGCACCGCATCTATCTAGGTGCAGTGATAGTTTTCTGGCTGCGGTTTGGTTTAAAAAAAAAAAAAAAAAACATTTATAGTCACCGCACCTAACTTATTAGCAGATTATTTTTAATCAACTTATCAGAAAATTATTCAATACGCTACAATTGCCCCAAATAGACCCTAAATCTTTTTTTGTTTGTAAGTTGTGTTATACACAAAATTAGATACTAAAAAAGACATTTGATAGTGCCAACAAATCAACTACCCAATCTAGGATTCTAAAAGAAGGCATTCCACGATACTTTGTGGATTGATTTTGCAACTTATATTAACGAGTCTCCTTTTTTATTGCTTTGAATCATGAAATTGAAAATTATTTCTCTTCCACAATTGTTTTTAGGCAAAAGTATCACCATTCAATTGTTGCCATGAATATTTTATCCTCTTCAAGATCATGAAGTAAATGCAAGGGCAATTTTATCCTATAAATAATGATAAAATGGTTCTCTCACTTAATTTATGCAAGCTTTTTATTGACAGTTGGTTGGTGAGGCGATCATTCCACTTGTAGTTCTTAAGAAAAATCTTTTATTGCTGGACAACTGTTGTGGCCTCCCGATCAACCACTCTATGTGAAAGTCTATTTTTTTAAGCAACTACTAATTTTGGAACTCCTATGCAATGTTGTCATCAGCTTCAACATAGAAAAACTCCATTTGACTTACCTGGGGCTTCCTCTATGTCAAGGCACATTCATACTAACAATTTTGACAAAGTAAATGATTTGTTGGTAGTTTTAAAGCATAAATGTATACTTTTACCTGGAGGGTATCAATTTCTATGCTCCTGTTAATAGTCTTTTCTCTTATTAAGATAGCTCAACTTCCTCACTCAAATGTGCTAGAAGATCTTTGTTGTCCATCACCAACCTTTTTTCGTTTTGATGGTAGTACTCCCAAAAAGTTGTTCATTCTCTCGTAGTAACAATTTATCCAACCAAGAGAAAAAGGGGACACAGCTCATCCTTCCCCATCCAACCTTCTTTTTATTTATAAAATGATTGTTACCTGGAGGTTATTCATAATTTCAAGCCATTTCTCCAGGTAGTGTTTAGGGAGTCAAGTGTTCTGATAAGAGTCTCCATAGGCGAGTCTTCCCTCTACAGAGAGAGTTAACAGTGTTAATAATATGATATAGGCTTTGTTTCAAACGACAGATGAGAACAACATTTTCATGATCTTATAAGTAAATGGGCAACCTTACTATTGACACCACTGCTTGACCCGCCCAATAAAATTACGGCGGACTGCACATTTATGATACATTTTCACATAAATACTGTGCTTATTCCTAATTTTCATTAGCTGTTTTTGTGATGATTTTTTAGCTCCATGTCTTGCAAAAAATATTTCATTTTTGGCCGAAATTTGGGTTCATTCTCTTTTTTTTTTATGGATTCTACTTCAATCACAACATCAACCAAATCTGTAAGAAATACTACTTATTTGTTTGTACATAAGCATATATTACCGAAAATGCATAAAATAGGGCCTTTTTCTTTTAAGATTATATAGCTTTATTTCATATCATATACTGAAATGAGTTGAACTCTTCGGCTAGGGCTTCCGATTTTCAAGCCCTGGGCATGGTCTGACGGCCCTAGGACGAATGGTTATAGATCTAGTGCTCAGCAAAATTTGAGTTAACAACACTATCAATAATGGGCCAACTTATTATCGTTCAGAGACAAAATATGATGTAATGAAATACTACCAGCATAAAACTCATCTTTAAATTAAATTTATGCATCTAATAATCATGGCATGCAGTCGAAAAAAAATAATTCTCAGACTCGCATCAACTTTAGACTATTAAAAGTATGTTCTTGTCATTTAGTTTGAACCATAATCAATGATGTTTGGCATGCTGAGTGTAAGATTTGGAGAAAAATAACAAAATAATATATGATAGAGACATCAACATCTCATTATTTTAACCTTTACTAAATTTTATTTCTTATTAATCAATAATCACACATATCTAATGTATTTTTCTGGGGCCAAGGCTTCTCATGTGTTCCTCTAGGAGCTAACGGTTGAATGGCCAAATCTCAATTTTGGCGGAACAATCACTTCTGATGGAAGGTTTATTATTATGGTTGGCACAACCATATGCTTCAAATGCTTGCTTGAAGGGTCTATACGTTATACATTGAGTTCCAGAAACTCGTTTGGAGAGCCAATGCACTACAAATTGAGCTTCATGCAACACGTAAGATAACTAAGCTAATAAATCTTTAAAGAAGAAAAGATTTATGAACTTCAACTCCGGTGCCGAAGCCTAACCATTGATTGGGCTAATTAGCGATTTCAATGGCTAAAAAACTTTGAAATATACGGCCACTATTGGTCTGCACCTGTTGGCCACTTTTGCAAATAAAAGGCAGAAAAGAAAAACAAAGCCGATTGCTAGCATCCCTAAAAGTCTAGCAATTGCAAATAATTTACCCTTGAGCAAATAAGTGACATAAATTCCAAGAAAGAAAAGTTCCTCGGAAATATAGGAAAGTGCCACTTAAATTCTTTTTATAGCAGAATTCTTAAAAAAGAAGCCTAATGTCTAACTGTAAAGCCGTATTGAGATATCCAAGAAATCCAGTTAATAATTACCTGAAACACAATTTGCCCAAAAAGCAGCGAGAAGTGATTCCAGGTCTGAACTTGAGACTGCAATAAAAAAAGAAAGTGATTCTATGTATACTGAGGAAAAGAAGTTACTCCATATTTTGCTATGGGGACAAAAATGCAAAAGCATCGCAAGTTTTCATTACTTGGCGATGTAAAGTTACCTCGTGAATTCCAAGGGAAAAAGTTACCTCTAAAATCAAGAAAAAAAACTGGTACCGCAAAAATCCTCTTGCTTGCAAAACTCATCAAACGGATGCTTGATGTATAAGCAAGTTTAATGGAAGGGGTAACTGAAGCACAGTTAAGTTCCTGCGGCTGAGTACATCTTTACGTATTCCTAGTCAGATACCTGAAAAAGAAATTATTAAATAGTACTAATAATAACTGTACGGTAAGAAACATAAACCTTCATGCAAATAACATCCAAAAATCAAAGAAAATTGACATCTATTAGACGATTTTGAGGCACAATACTAGCGCAAAAGAATTCTGCATGATGTGCAAGTTTTCCATCAAAAGCAATGATCCTGAAAACATTGCTTATTTATCTGCGCTTGGCAGCTTTCTAATTCTTTAATACTACATGTTTCTCTCATGTGCGCACAAACACACAAAAATGCTTAAAGACGCACATAAAATCCAACAAGATCATGGTGTGAAACTTGGACAAATTATCCAGACTTCAAAATCAAACTAATCAAACGAGCTTTACAAACCAATGGTTAATAATTATCAGACAAATTCAACTGTTGAATTATAAAAAGGTTATGTTTAGCCGAGCTTGGAGACCAAATGGTGGGCCGAACAAGAGCCATGCAAGGAATAAAGATGTACAAAGTATTGGGTAAGGGTAATCAATGCATAAAATCATCCTCCAGATGAAATCTACAAATAAAGCAAATATAAAAAGAACGACAATTCTGACTGTTTAATGAGGAAGAAAATATGGGATAACTGCCCCACCTTGAGAATAAAGCAAGGTTTGAAAGCTGCAATCTTGGGCCTAATTTGTAAATTGTTTGGTAACTAATTAAGATAGATTCCCTTTGTTAAATAACCCCTAATCCTTTTCAAATTATCATCATCTAGCAATACTTTCAAACAAGAAAGGGATGGTGTAAGAAATCCCAAAATTTCACTTCTTGAGCAAGGGATTTATATTGATCATTCATAGCTTGGAAATGAAGATGTCAAATTGAACTCAATTTAGAGCTTTGGTAGGATATCTATTATTTGAGAATTTGTTAGTATGCAGACAACTTTAATAATGTCTATTTCAATTTTCTCCTTCATGAAGTACCAATTAGTTTTAATATGCATAGTCCTATCATGATAGACATGATATTTAGCAATGTTACTTGTAGCTTGGTTATCACACAGCATTGACATTGGTTATTTAATAGAACATAGTTTTAACAAAATGTTGACCTGCATTCCATCACAAATGCAATGAGTTATAACCATGAATACAACTTCAGCTCTATTTCTAACGACAACTATTAGCTTTTGTCAAAGTCACTAGATTAGCCGATAAAAATGAACAATTGTTAAAAGTTAGCTTGCAATCAATTATTAATCAACCTAGTCAGCATCAATGAAGATTTTATTATTCATATTTTTCTTTTCTTGAAGAATATATTTTAAAAAAAAAACTTTTCATGACATCTTAACATCCTGCAGATTACATCGAGGTATTCCTCAATGGGAACATTCCTAAGTACATTAAGAACATTGATGTGGAAAAAAATGTCTAAGTTGAGTGAAGAGAATTTTTCCAACAAGATGTTGGTACGTTCTTTGGCCGCCTGAAAATCTTTACCGGGCTTGCATTACAACATGCTTCTTTTTAAAAGATCTAGCGAATACTTTTGTTAAGAAATAATCATGTTTTTCTTTGTCTTGAAATTTTCCTACCCAAAAAATATTTCAAGGCTCCCCAATATTTGATTTCTAATTCATTGGCAAAGATTAATTTTAAGTTACTGATTTCTCTATTCTTTTAAACCAATTCAGATAATATTAATATATGTAATGAGGATGACAACGTAACTAGGAAATGCTTCTTCAACAAACATGATGTATTTTGCATGCTTTTGAAGGTTCTCATACTTTTTAATTGGAGTAAATTTGTAGAACAAGCTTTTAGAGATTGCTTCAGACTTTTACAAGGATTTCTCAAGGTTTTAGAGTTCATATTAATTGCCCGTGTTCTCAAATCTAGGAGATATACATTTATATATACGCCGACGAAGGCTTCCGACCCCACAATGTGGGATGATGCAGGTGTTGCATCTGAACTGGAAGCAATGCGCAGGTTTCACCTATTGGGGCTGAACCGGGTTCAATAGAGAAGAGGGAGAGAGGGTCAGTCAGCCCTAACTTGACAAGTATTTGCCACATATGGTGGGGTTTGCTCCATAGTTACCTCGGTTTATATATATTGTTATTTTCGTATTTTGGTCAATTATTCATGAGTTTTCTGTCAAGATAGCCGTCGGCGTCTCCAAGATTTCCCTTTGAAGACTGTATCCAAGGGCTAGGGGTGTTACGGTTATATCGCATTCCGAGGTGATGATGCTTCTCCAAAGGTCAAGTAGCGCTCCAGCTGTATCTCGCTTTCAAGGTTGTAATCATCCTCAACTTTCCCTTGCTCAGCATCCCTCACTCCACTTCCTCATTGCAGCCGCCAAAGACAAGTCGTCTTCGTTGATCTTTCCTGCAGTTCTCTTCTTTGCAGCCGCCACCCTTCCACAATCTTTGTTGTTCTTCTGAATCAACCGCCAGCCCTCCCCTTGGATCTTTCCGACAACCCACAACCTTTTGGCTGCCCTTACAATCGCTTGTCTCCACCTACTTGCAGCCCCAACGCCCCAAACCTTCCTTATCTCCCATTCCAGGCTTGCGACCAGCCTGCATAGCCACACAACGTCTGTTACCCCCCTTCTCGGCTTGCTATCCAAGACACTATTCTGTCCCCTTCACTATTGTCATCCTGATGTTCTTCGGCTATCCCAACCAACAGACGCTAGCTGCCACCCCCCAAAACAGCCACCCAGAACCCCTTCCTTGCAACAACCGCCGCCTTCCAACCACCATCCAACCATTCCACAAGCCTAACAAACCACCACCCTTTTGTAACACAACCCAAGTTGAGTTGTGTCATATATATTGTTACTTACTATCTCAGTGTGTTAGTTGTGATCACCTATTGGCTTTCTTCAATAATAATATTTGTTTGTTTATTGTTGTTTGGGTTAACCCCGATATCATTTTGTAGCACAGCTAGCCAAATATTAGTCATATCATAGGTTTTCTAGCATCCACACAAAAAGCCTTTCACTTTGCTGATTTTTCCAACCGACAACACAAAAATTTTATTTCCCACCCAACACATTCCTATACACCACAAATTTTATTTCCCACCCAACACATTCCTATACACCCTCTTCCACGTACTCAAACCCAAAATCCTAACCAAACCACCGAAGATACATTGTCGGAGACTTATTCTGAAATAAATGCTATAATGTTATTTATAAAAAATCAACAAAGAGATACTCGAGAATCTTCTATAGAGAATGTGCGGCAGGAAATCCTCCAACTGCAATGGAGGCTTACCTCTTTTGAGAGGATGCAATCTGAAAGGGTCACTCCTAGCCACAATAGTGACTTGTCGAATCGAAAGAATACAATGAATTCCTTTCACCAAGTTGATTGCAGAGATGAAGAACTACTATTCTGAAAACTTGGCATGAAATATTGAAAATCTAAGATTTTGAAAAGTGAATTTGTCATATTTTGACGACATATGAATCTGGACAAGTTCATCGAGTGACCTGGACAATTAAACATGCCTTTGAGTATCAAGACGTCCCACTAGACAGAATAGTGAAATAACCACAAATTTAATGAAATGTACATTTTTTTGGTGGGAGGTTTGAAAATTCTTCGATAACGAGAAAAGAAAAATAAAATTACAACTTGGTCTAAGATGAAACGCGAGATGTCATGCCAGTACCTACCAAATATTTACAGGCAGAATGTTTAGACCCTAGCGTCAAAAGTGGAGAGACTATCACTAGATGACCGACACATCTTAAAGGTAGAGTTCAACTCGATCAAGTAGCAAGAGTACGCCTAGTATTAAAGTGGAGAATGGGTGGAACCAATCCATATTCACAAATTTGTCTTAGCCAAAAAATGTTTCAAGTTTCATACATTTAGCTAAATTGAATCAAATTGCCCAATCAGAAGGTGACCTCTTTTACAGAGCAATGAACAATTGAAGAAATAGATAGTGACACATGAAATGATGAAGATGCCAGAGATGAGCCTCAACTTCAAGTCGGAAGGTTCATAATTACAAAAAGTAAGAGGTTTTAGGAGCAAAAAGTAGAAATCAGAAAACAACACTAAAATTCTTGATGTTTTTCAAAGGTGATGAGGTTCATGCTCCTGTGACAACGACCAAGTGATTCCTCGATAATTTTCATGTGAGTTTGTCACTTGATTGATGACAACCAAGGGCAAATTCTTCTATGTCCAAGTCATAAGAAGTGTGGGAAATCTTACTATAATTAAGAGGGTTTGATCATACCGCATTTCCCAAGAATTTTTTAGTCCCTTATCTAGATTGCAATTTTCTAATGGCAGTATTTCTATTTCACTAGGCTATTGTGTGTTAACCTACTTATTCTTATAATCAAAGGTTAGAAGTCTTAAGTCACAAGAGACTTTAACATCCTATAAGGCCACATCAGAAGCAAATAATAATCAAAAGGTTAACACAACATATAAAATTCAAAATCACTGAAAATATTTTGGAAAACTCAGTAAAAAATAGCAATGAAATCACATCTTACATCACAGGAGCATGCAAAAAAATTACATATAATGCATGAGATTAAAAAATATAGAAAGTTTCATTAAAAAATATCTAAGATACAATAGAAGAAAGTACAGAAACGCATAACTAAGCAAATCATTCTTCGCAATACAACAGATTTCTCTCCGTATAATGCAGCTCCCAATCAATTTCCCGCATACAATAGCACAAAATGTCTTCTCACAAGCCTCTCAAAACTCTCCAAGAAAAACACACTAGAACTCTTCTCCAAGGGTGAACCAAAGGAAGAGACCAGGGCTTACAATATTCTCTTTAGACCTAAGAAGAACCTACTAAAATAGCAAAGAGCAATCCCTAGACTTTAATACCTTAACATAAATACTTAAGGCTAAAATTTTGGCAATAAATAAATTCCAATTTAATCAATTCGTGGAACCGAGCAGCATGAGCGGAACGCTAGCACAGACGTGTCTCTAGGCACCACAGGCGTGGTGCTCAGAATT